AACAATGGTCTTGAACGGAAGAACGCCGTGCGGATGAGGACTGGTATAGGGCAGGTGTGTTTCCATTGTACGCAGATTCTCTATGGGTTGGAACTGACTGACAGCACAACGACGGGCTCGGTTCACACACATCTAGTACCATCCAGTGGATGCCAACTCACAGAGACTCAGAAACAAAAGGAGATCTACAAAGGGTTTGTGAGACTGCAAATCTGCATGGAAGCAGACTGCCTCAGCTCTCTCCCCAGGAGTGGCTGGTGGGCTTGAACTGCCAACGATTTGGTCAGCATCCCAAAGCTTAATGCACTGTCTCATCAGAGTTCCTCAGTTCATGCACCCATACGTTTACTCCAAATGAAACACATTTACACATGTATCTGAGAACAGTGGACGGCTACAGACAAGTTCTAGCAATACACCTGTCTTAGTCTAAAACCAATACATACAAGATTCTTACTTTCAAGGAGTCTGCGTGCAGAAAACATTTGATTACTGAGTCTGTAGCCATCCCCAGGTTAGCGAGAATTTACATAAGGTTCACGTCAAAACCCAGGAATACAGAGCGTTTATTTGTATCAGGGACGATTAGTGGCTGTCTCACTAAGAGAAGAGTATAAAATGTGTGTGAAAGTCATAAAACCCACACAAAGCATAGCACATTTCTCATCTGCGCACATCAAATATTTAGATTTTATTTGATAAAAAGAGAAATTTCATAATCTTCTAAAATCTTTAAACAAGCAGAATTCTAGTCAACTTAAATTCAACAATTTCTGTATTGCTGATTCATACACAGTATAAAAGGAATCCTCAAGGCACTGCAATTAAGCATTAGGCAGTTAACCAAAAGATGGGTGATTCTGGGGGAGGAAGCTTTAGCAGTGTGCTTCTGTACAAATCCTTCTGGAAATCCTGTGTGACAACTCCATCCTGCCCCATGGGCTCTCTATGAGTAAGAAGACTCTATGGTGGGGGCTTTGAGTGCCCTGGTGGCCCTGTCCAGTTTGTGTTGGACTGCGAACCGAAACGTTAGCTGTTCAAACACACCAGCTGCTGTGCAGAGGAGCAAAGAGAATGTCTACTCTCATAGAACTGACGGTCCCTAAAGCCCTACCAAGTGCTCCCTTGAGTTGAATTTAGTGATGTCACTGTTTTTTCTTTAATTTTTTTTCAAATGTTGAGCATTTCCTAATTTAGCCACTAGAGGGAGTAAAAGGCAAAGAAATCTTTCAACCACCTGCCTGGTTCTCTTTCTGTGCCAGATGCTGAGCATCTTTGCGCAGCAGCATTTTCAATGCTAATAGAACTCAGTAATCAAACGTTTTCTGCATGCAGACTCCTTGAAAGTAAGAATCTTGTGTAAGGATTTTAAACTCCCATCTAGATGATCGATTTCCAAGATCAGAAAGCATCACAACATCCCCACAATATTTGCTACTTATCAAAAAAGTTGTTAGCCAAACCATAACCAAACTCATAGCATTGGAGTCAGTGTTGACTTATAGTGACCCCCCCCCCACTCCCACTCCGTGATTTTTCAAGATTGTAATTGCTGACAGTACTAGAAAGTCTAGGAGTAGAAAGCCCAGTCTCTCTCCCGTGGAGCTGCTGGTGGTTTCAAACTGCTGACCATCCTAATTGTATCAAAGCCCAAGGTATAAGTATTATATTGCATTATATTCTTCTCCAGCACCACAATTCAAATGCTTAAATAATTCTTTGGTCTTCCTTACTCAGTGTCCAACTTTCACACGCGTAGGAGGCTGCTGCCCATGCTGTCGATTGGGTCAAGCACACCTTAGTCCTGAGTGACATCCTCACTTTTCGATGCTCTGACGAGGTCCTGTGGTCAGGTTTACTTAATGAAGCACTTCTTTTCTTCTCTTGACTGTTGCTTCCATGAGCATGTATGATGGGTACCTTTTCACCATGTCTCATGTGGTTAACTATTGGTCCAGGTGTGAGAATCTGTGTGTCCTTTACACTGACTTGTAATCCACACTGAAGGCTGCAATTCTTGATCTTTTAATCTTCTTGATTAGAAGTGCTTCAAGTCCTCTTCATTGTCAGCAAGCAAGGTTGGGTCATCTGCATACTGCAGATTACTAATAAGCCTTCCTCCAATCCTGGTGCCACACTCTTCTTCATAGAACCCAGCTGCTCTGATGATTTGTTCAACATACAGATTGAATAAGTGTGGTGAGAGGATGCAACCCTGATGCTCCCCTTTCCTGATTTTAAACCATGCAGTAGTCACTTGTTCTATTTAAATAACTGTCTCTTGATCCATCTACAAGTTCCACATGAGCACAGTCAAGTGTTCTGGAATTCCCATTCTTCTCGAGGCTATCCATAGTTTGTTATGATGTATACAGTCACATACCTGGGCATATTTAATAAAACATAGGTGAATATCTTTCTAGTAGTCTCTACTTTCAGCCAAAATTCATCTAAAATGAGCAAGAATATGTCTTGTTCCACATCTTCTTTTGAATCTGACCTGAACTGCTGGCTGTTCCCTGTCAATGTACTGCTGCAACTGTTGTTGGATGATCTTCAACAAACTTTTACTTGCATGTGGTATCAGTGATATAGTTCTAAGATTTGGGCATTCAGTTGAGTCATCCTCCTGTGGAATGGGTACAAATATGGATCTCTTTATGTCAGTTGGCCAATGGCTGTCTTACAAATGCTGGTATAGAGGAGTAAAAGCTTCCAGCGCTTCATCAGTTTTTTGAAATATTTCAATGGGCATTTCATCAATTCGAGGCACCTTGTTTGAGGCTAATGTATTCAGTGTACCTTGACACTCTCCCTTCAGCACCATTAGCTCTTGCTCCTGTTCTACATCCTGAAATAGTCAGTGTTGAACAGTTCATTTTTGGTAGAGTGACTGTGTATTCTTTCAATTTTCTTTTGATGCTTCCTGTATCATTCAATATTTTGCCCATACAATCTTTCAATATTGCAACCCAAACGTGCAGAAAACTACAAAAATAAAACAAAACAAACCCATCTCAAACAAACTCACTGCCACGGAGTTACACAGTGCTCCGTGACTCACAGTGCTCCGAAAGGCAGAGCAGAAATGGCCCTGTCTGTTTACATGGCTGTAAAGTCTTTTCAGTAACAGAAAGGCTCATCTTCCTTCTTCAGAACAGCTGGTGGATTCAAACTATTGACCTTGTGGTTAGCAGCCAAAGCGTAACCCTCCATGACACCAGGACTCCTTACAGAACACTGAGCTCCTTTAAAGCAATCCCTAGAGCAGCATGAAGAAGAGGCGAGGACGCCCTCTGGATGGACTAAAGCCTGAACCACGGCTGCATTCTCGCATCCAGCACCGGCCCCTGCTGCAATCCCCACCAAGCTCAGGAGAAAGGCTGAAGGAGATGCGAAGGGATGGAGGCCAGGGTCAAGATGAACCACAGAGGAGACCAGCAAGGTGATCTGCTGGACCTGTTCCTTAAAACAATGGGCTAAGTTTAAAATGGCCCCTGAAAAGAAGGGAGAGAAGGTGCCCAAAGGGAACAGGGGAAGGCTGATGTTGGCAAGGGTGGGCACAGCCCTGCAGAAAATGGAGATGCCAACACAGGCCAGACACAGAGAGCTGAAGGGGCCAAAGCAAGTGTGTGCATTTTGGATAACCGTGTACTTTGGGTGACTGTACAGTTTGAAATACCATTTTTTAATCAAATTTTATTAAAATGCAGAATTTTGTTTTCGTTTTTTTTTAAAAAGTTATGTTGCTAGCACATGGAACCCTTCATTGTTGTTTGGGGGGATGGGGCAGAGAGACATCACTAATCAGCGCTCTCCAAAGCTAGACTGATACTGGAGACAACGTCTTGCCCATCTAGTTTTGAAAGACTCCCTCTTGGTTCCCAGGCGGAGGGGTTCCCTGACACACACCCCAGCTACCTTGGCACAAACACCTTGCGATAGGGAAAAGGTAGCATTTGTTTTTACCATCATCATACCCGCTTCTCCCTCTCTGCCTGCAGCATAGACTTGACTCCCCTAACCCTAGAGAGCTGGGACCTGAGCTCAGGAGGTTGCTCGTTCATCTATCAGGCTGTCTGGGCTTTCCAGGGTTGCCATCCTAGTGGGTCCCTCAAAGGAGCAGCGTTCCTTCCTTCAGACGGTGTATCTTCAGATGCTTGGCAGTTCTGCCATCTTCACTTCATTTTCTGAGGGCCAGGGTCTGCTCATGAGAAGGTGAGAGCACAGCCTGTTAACTGTGAAGTGTCCCTCCTCCTCCAAGCCTTCCCTGTTCAGAACGTCAGGGGGAGTCTTCATTCGGTTTGACAGCTTCGTTCTGGTTTCGGCAGTTCCTTCAAGAAGGGAGTTTGAAAGTGGTCGAACACCAGGATTGTTCATGGAAATATGTTTAATAAAGCCACATACAGTTTGGAAAAAGCGAGTCATTTAGAAAGCCACTCAGGATGCTTTCGGCGTCAATGATTTAACTCAGTGTCATCAAGAGGAGTCCGACTCCTAGCGACCCCACAGGAGAGGCAAGAACTGTCCCGTGGCCTCTGACTGGGCTCCTCCAGGCGGTAGAAAGCCGCGTCTTTCTCCAGGGGAGCCGGTGGTGGGTTCCAAGGCTGACCAGGTTGTTAACAGCCCAAGACATAACGCACTACGCCACCACGGGGCCTTGTCGTTGTCTTTGGAACTGATCCGTTTTATGCTTCTATCACTTTAGCTGACCATGAATCAGAAGAGTGATGTCCTGATTCTAAGTCTAGCACTAATTAGCTCTGTGATCATCATTAAATCCTTCATCTATTCTTTGATTTCTTCTGCAAAATGGACTCAAGTTTTTTTCATTGCTGTTTCGAACACTGCATGATCCATACATTCACTGGGACCTTATTGACCTTTTGAATCCTTGAACTCGGAAGTATTTGAAATCTGACAGTCTGTGAATTCTTGGAAAATAGAAAAAAATGAAATGAAAACATGACAAATCAATGGAAAGAAATACAAGTACTTACAGTCACAGTCTTAGCATCCATCTCAGTGAATATGAATTCCCCGCCATCAAAATCGTCATTCATGTACAGAAGGGCACTGTGAGAAGAAAGGGTCAATGTCTATTGAGTCATGTGCCAAAGCCATCACATTTGCAAAGCAATCTGGGTCGTCCCTTTCCCAACTAGTCTTTGGCTCAGCATTTGGCTCAGCTCATTGGAGGGCTAAGACTGACACGTGTCCCTCCTGCAGAGCAGTTGGTGGGTTCGAATCCCTCACCTCCAGCTAGTGCCCATGTGCTTCATCATAGAGCCACCACAGTTCCAGAGCCCACTGGGGTTCAAATTCCAGTTATACACTAGCTATCTGAACCTGGCTAATTGACTTAATGTTTCACAGCATTGGTTTCTTCACTGATAAAATGACAAAATCACTTCTTTATGATGCCTGAGGATTAGGCACTCATAAAACACAGTTTTGTGCAGAGATGGATAACTGACAGCCATTCCTACGATTATATACTAAAATCTTTCTCCCGGGGAGCAGCTAGTGGTTTCAAACTGCTGACCTTGCTGCCATTAGCATTCCAACGTGTGACCCACTACGTCATCAGGGCTCCTATTATCAGTGCTCACTGCTCATTGACATTGAGCCCATGCTGATTCAGTGTGACCCTGTAGAAGAGGGTAGAACTACCCCTATGAGTTTCTGAGACTAACTCTTTGTAGGAGTAGAAAGCCTGTCTTTTCCCCCAGGTTCAGAGCATCATAAAATAGTAGACTGGTCAGGTCTAGCTTAGCTTTGAAGACAGGGGGCGCTCAATACACATCTTTGTAGACAGCATACTGTACTATTTATTAACAACACTACTCTATAAGGAGGCCAAGGAGCCCTGGTGGACTAGTGATTGTGTGTAGGCTGCAAACCATAAAAGGTCAGCAATTTGAAACCATTAAGGACTGCTAAGGAGAAATACGTGGCTTTCAACTCTTGTAAAGAGTTACTGTCTCAGAAACCTGCAAGGGCAGTTCTACCCTGTCTTTCAGGGTCACTATGGGTCAGCATCAGCTCTATGGTGGTGAGTTTGGTTTGTTTTCTATGCAGTGACTCCAATTCCCAATTCTTCTCTTTGTGGATTGAAATCTCTTTTCTTCTGAATGGCCATTTATTAAATATGGATACACTTCTCCATGCACATGGATGGAAGGCAGCAACACAGGAGATCCCTCTGTGTGTGGCAGCCTCATGCCCTGATGCTCACAGAGAGACATGCACACGAGGGGTGCGTGTCAATGAAAGCCAAGATGTGTTAAAGGAAAAATAAGTAGATGGATGAACTCCACTTTTTTTGCAGTGAAACAGAAATGTCCTCTGTGGAATACAAATCAAAGTTTGGAATATCAAAACTGCACATGGATACTTAGATTAAAAAAATGCGAGATGATAAAGTCATTTCTTAGATGTGTTAGTTGTTCCAAAGAAGATTTGAGAATCACTTGCTGCTAAAATCCAGATGACAAGATTCACAGAGATGAATATGGCGGCAAAAAACACAGTCATCTTTTAGACGCTACGGGTTTTTGATAACAGCGGGACAGATGCCCGGTTCTGAGTGGGTGCGGGTTTACCTGTAATCCCGGAATGTGTAAGCCGGAGGCTCCTTCCAGCATTCATTGGCCTCGGGGTCCAGCAGGCAGTTGTCCGCATGAATGGGGTGGCTGAGGTCATTTCTTCTATCTTGTTGACCTGCCATAAAATGGAGCAGGGGGGGGTGAGTGATGGTGTACAGTGACACACACACACACACACACACACACACACACACACAGCAAAGCTGGCAACTGGCTGTCTGCTCCCATCACTGGTGCCCCTTGCCAATCTGGGGAGACTCGAGGTAGACCACACTAGAGGAAGGGCACGGACAGGCAGTGGAGAACTCTGTTTCTGGTTTGGGCAACAACTGGATGGGAAACCTGCATAAATGCATCCTGGGCATCTCGCATGCTTTACTTCCGGTGCAGTAGCAAAAAGATGGATGTAGTGAAAATGCGAAAATAATTATTTTAGTTCACCTGAATCTTCTAAAGTGTGTAGGTCATTCAACCATGATTTTAATATGATACTTGGTCAGTTGACCACCCTCTTGACCCAAGCTGAATGTGCTCTAGGCTCAAATATTTCTTGTTTGTTCCATGACAGAAATTTTTTCTCTAGATTTTTAAATATCATTGGTGGTTTTTTATTTCTTACTCTTTATTTTCTTCTCCCTGTTTCATTTTGGTTTTGTGTTTTATTGTTTCTGTTAGTGAGATAGTTAAGGTTTATTGTGGCAACCTGGCCAATAACCACATGTGGGATTAATTGAAGGGCAGGAGGGATAACTGGCTTGGTGAGCCTTTCCTTTCTAGCTCTTGGGTCTCTTGCTTTCTGATTGTCGGACCAGGGTGCAGCTGCCTTTGCCAATTCCCTGCTTCAGCTGGCAAGGCTCACTTCAAATGAGACAACCCTGAGGAGAAGCCACATAGACCTACCCCGATGCAGCCCTGGGTGATGGAACAGCGGTGTGGAGACCCCTGCCAGCCCTGAGGAGACCCCTGCCAGCGCTGAGATGCTTACATGCTCACTGATTCGGCTTTCCTCCTGCTGTAGACATAATTGGGTGTGTTTTGTGAGACTGAGGAGGACTTTGTAGATTGGTGTCGGACATATGGGCTAATGTTGGATTTATGGGCTTGGACAGCACTGGGTTGGAATGCTTTTTTAATGTACATTTACCCTTTAAATAAAACTCTTGCCTACTCATATGAGTTTCTGTGGATTTGTTTCCTTAGTTTAGCCAGACTAACAAAGTCAGGTTTCCCAGTTCATGAAGCACAGAAGGAGTGGATGCTTGCAGACGATAACTGATGCAGTGGTTTATTGGGAGCAAGGAGTGGGGAGCGTGAGAGGAATTAGGGAGCAAACAGTGACTGAGAGAGCCCTGGAAATGATTGTGATGATATATATGCAACTCTTTAAAAAAACTAATTAACTAGGAACGTGCCTGGTATGTGAATATTATATTAAGAAAATTACTTTTAAAAAAAGGAAAGGAAAAAGAAACCAAGCGTGACCAATGGTGACCACAGGTGAAGGAGGAAGAGATTCTGCATAGGGGCATTGAGTTCATGTTAATGGTGGTGGAATAATTTTGAAGAGGAAATAAATAATTGTTATATAACAGAAAGAGTGTAATCAGCGGTACTGAATTATACATATATAAGTTGTTGAATTAGAGGATATTTTGTTGTGTATATTTTTGCCACAATTAAAAATAATTACATGAATAACGGTGAATACAAGGAAGAAGAAAATGTTTTAAAACTGATTGTGGTAATGATTAGCCAATTCTTGCTATGATTGAACGATTGAATTGTCTATGTGGATGGAGTGACAATAAAACTGTTTTAAAAATACAGTGTGGCAGTCTTCTGTGGCACTGTTCTTCCTGAAGCAGGAGGTAGAAGAAGGAGTGCCTAAAAGTGGTAACAGCAAGTGGGGAGTGAGAGGTCCTTTTCAGAACATTTCTCCAAACCATCCCTTCGTTTGTCGATGGCTCCACTCAGTGCTTGTGGGCACAATGGTGAATGCAATTTACAGGCTCCGAAAACAGAACCAGAAGTAAAGAAATGTGTGTGTTTGGTTGTGTTTTGTTTGGGCAAGACAGAAAAGTAGAAGTGGAATTAAGAAAGAAAATAAGCATAAGTGAAGGTCTGTCTTCTGGAACTTCAAGTGACCCGAAAGGAGAAAATAAGGGAAGGAACGATTGAGAGTTAGCAGGTTTCTTTTGATTTAGGACATTGGCCCTCTTGGTCTCAGGTGCCATAGCTTTGGTTTGCATTGCTTTCTTTCCAACTGCACGGTGGGGAGAAGGTGTTCAGGTCAGACATGGACTCTCACCGGATAGGGCTGTTCGGCAGACCAGGTGCGTATAGGAGAAGTAGAGGGTGGAGTTCAGCATGAAATAGGATTCTACAATTTTCCGAGCCTTCTCGCTGATGTCGTAAAAGAGCCGGGCACTCTTCAGTGGGACTCGGCCTTCATAACCAAACTGAAGGAAAATAAGTACATTAGAAACCACTGGGTTGATTAGGGGGCCTGGAGAAAACAGACACGCGGTTTCATTAAGACCATATTTTATGGCCGGCTCTGTGCTGATGAGCGGGACTACTAGTGCACTTGTGGAGATTTGAAATAAGACAATAAATGATTAAGAAGTTTCTCCCAGTCACACAGGGAAAACTAATCAGTCTTATCTCTTCCTTCACTCTGCATTCCTCTCTTACGAGGAGGGTAACTATTTTGGACATGTTCTCTTTATTAGAACATCAGCTCTAATCTCTTTGAGGACATCACACTTGTCAGGTACAAGGTTCGGGAATGTAAAGTTTGGTAAGTGGAGGCCTGCCTGAGGAATGGATGGATGATTAAGAACAAAGTGTGCCATGCTAGGATTATTCCCTTCAACTCTCCCAGGAGGTGTGTATTCGAAACCCTCCCCTTCGCTGTACCTGTCTTTCACAGAAGGCCTTAGACTGATACTTAGGGACCCAAAGCCACACAAACACCCCGCCGCCCGCTAAAGTTAACACTACCTTGAGTGCTTTCAGGACAGTGGCGCCTTCGAACTTTTCATTAGGAGTATGTGGTGAAGTTTTTCCTCTGTAACCATCACCAACAAGCATGATTCCCTGCGGAAAAAATACAAGAAGATGCTTTGTCAATGATCTCTAAATACTCATTAAGTCTCCCCTTTTGCCTTGACTGCAGGAAACAGAGAAGTCCAAATTCAGAACTGCGTCCAGTTGCTTAAAGATGCCTGCCTTAAGTGATTTTCACAAGTGAAAGGTGTCATTTTTACCTTGATTATAAAAATACAGCTACTTTTAGAAAAGAGATGGGTTGCATGTAATAATTAATATATTGATTAATTATTTAATAAAATATTGTTATATGGCTCTTTCTAGTTTGTGTGCATTTACCTTTTCACTGGATCTTTTCCAGTGACATCGTACAACAGATATGACACCTGACACATAATTATTGTTTTAGGGATTGAGCTAATGACTACTCCGGATGCCACAGGGACAAGAGGGGTTGGGGGTGCTGGAAGGACTACAATCACCTCAATCCAAAAGGATAGCAATGTGCCTCTCTCATCAATGCTCTGTTCCCAAACATAGTGAGATTTCAGGTCTTGTTCACTGATTTGAAATGAGCCCCACACTGGTGGATGGTACCCAAACACTTCGGCTTGTCATGTTCCCCACCCTCTCCTGGTCCTCACACTGGCCACGCTGTGGAGCTCCCGGCACTGTTCTTCTGATAAGACGTTATCCAGGAGAACCCGCTGCGTCCCGTTCAGCTGCTCTGAATTATAGACAAATGTGATGTTCTCATACAGCAGAGGGCCACCTGGAGGGACAGAGCACATTCCCATCTCTGTTACTTTATCCTCAAGGGGGAAGCATAGAAAAACCCATCAGCTTTCAAGGTGCGGTTTGGGAGGGTCAGTTTCCTCATGACTCTTTAGGAATGGAAAGATAGATGATAAATTCTGAAACATAATGATAAATGTATATATGATAAAACACAACACAGATGCATGAAATGGCAGATGCCTGACTACCATATTTCAACACGTGTCATAATAATATATTACATTTGCAAAGTATATTTGACTAATAGAGTAACTTGTACTTTGATTCAAGTGATGACCCAGCAAAGTAGACTGGACATCTCACAGGACCTTTCTCTGAGAAACTGAACCAGAATTCCCCCAGAGGCTGGGTTCACCCTTCTCCATTGTCCTTGGTTCATACCTCTACTACAACAGTGTATGTAATTACTGGATGTTTCTGTCCCCATAATATCCTATACATATTTGTTTTACAGAAAGTACTAAAGAAAAATTCCAAGCCTCAAATTGAAATACTGAAAGATACACTGGGCAAAATATTGAATGATACAGGAAGCATCAAAAGAAGATGGAAAGAATACACAGTCATTGTAACAAAAAGAACTAGTTGATGTTCTACCATTTCAAGAAGTAGCATGTGTGCAAGAACCAGTGGTGCTGAAAGAAGTTCAAGCTACACTGAAGCATTAGCCAAAAACAAGGCCCCAAATGGATGGAAGACTAGTTGTGGTAGTTACATAATTTGTAGTCAATTTAAGAGGATTAAGAGTGAAGGGGTGGAGTTTAGTCTGCCAATCTGCGACACACACTTAATCCCTGGGAAACATTGCAGCTGACAAGACACATGGAACTAACACTAGTGCCCTGAGCTGGAGGAGCCACGTGAGACCCCTGCCAGCCCTGAGATGCTTACACCACCACTGGATCCACAAGACTTACCACCCACTGTGATCTTCCTGCATTCAGTGTCATTGCATGCGTTTCGTGAGTCTGAAGTAGACTTTATAGATTGGTATCTGACATATGGGCTAATATCGGACTTATGGATTTGATCTGAACTTGGGCTAGGATGTTTTCTTAATATACAATTACCCTTTATATAAAGCTCTTTTTTATACACATATGAGTCTACCTGGATTTGTTTCTCTAGTCTACCAGGACTAACACACTAATTGAAAAGTTTCAACAATTTGAGGAAGCACTGGAAGCATTTGCTTGTCTATGCCAGGAAATTTGGAAGATAGCTATTTGGCCAAATGATGGAAAGAAATCCATATTTGTACCCATTTCAAATAAAAGTAACCCAAGAGAATGGTGAACTTATAGAACAGTAGCATTGATATCACATGAAAGCAAATTTTTTTTGAAGAACAGCTAACAATAGTTGCAGCAGTACATTGACAGGGAGCAGTCAGAGGTTCAGGCCAGATTCAGAAGTGGATGTGGAACAAGGAATATCCTTACGTATTCTCTTGGATGAAAGGAGAAAATACCAGAAAAAATGTTTACTTCTGTTTTATTAACTGAGCAAAGATATTTTACAATGTGGATTCTAGCATTCAATGGATAGCCATGAGAAGAATGAGAATTGCAGAACATTTGAATTGTACACGGATCAAGAGCCAGTTATTCAAACAGAACAAGGGGAATAGTGCATGGTTTTAAATCAGGAAAGGTGTGCATCAGGGTTAAAGCCTCTGAACACACTTATTAAAATCAGCAGAGAAGCTGAATTGTATAAAGAAGAAGGCAACATCAGGATTGGAGGAAACCTTTATTACAGCCTTATTCAGCTAAAAGTAAAATAATCAACTTTAGCCATAGATCGTGGATTGATTACCCTGTCCCAAGTTCTTGTCAGCGTTCTTTGTAGTCCTTTTGTTATATGTTTAATAAAGTAATACAAGATCTTTATCCATAGACATGTGCTGGCATGGTCTTTGACCTTCATTAATGCAAGTACTTTAATAGTTCATTCAATTTTATTTCATGATAATTTGTGATCATTAAACCACTTAACTCACTTGAACTAGGAGTTCCAATGTGAACACAGATCTATCCACAACCACAAGTTTGAAAATTCAGGATAGAGCATGACAATTCAGGATAGAACATGAAAATTCAGGATAGAACATGACAATTCAGGATAGTACATGAAAATTCAGGATAGTTATTTAGATAAACCACTAGTTTCCCCGTTTATCTAAAAAAACAGCAAGTTTTGTAATTAGGAACTATTAGGTTCTAGAATATGTCAACAAGCCCTCCATTTTAAAGCCATGCGCTCTTCTTTGGAATGAATTATAAACACACACTCCATACACAAACATGAGGGGTTCTTCAAAAAGTCTGTGGAAAAATGGAACTAAAAGATACTGAAGATAAAAATGAAGGCTCTTGAATACTTGAACATAGTAATTGCATATTCTCTTCTCACTTAAAATATAGAAAGAGATACCCCATGATCAAGAAAGGCATACTACATTTAGGTTCACTGAAAAAATGTATCTTTATATTAATCTCAAATGGCAATAGAAAACATCTCAGGGTTTTAATGAAATGAGATGGGTTGCACTTTGCCATCCCTTCTAATATTTATATTGAACATGTATCACATCAAATAGAATTAGCTAATTTTCAAAATGTGATATAAAGTTACATGCAGAATGGTGCCTATTATCCTTAAACTCTGAGCAAATCACCAGAGAAGCTGGCTTATATGAAGAAGAGTGTGGCATCAGGATTGGAGAAAGGCTGATTACCAACCTGTGATATGCAGATGACCCAGACTTGCTTTGTGCAAGTGATGAGGACTTGAAATACTTATTAAGATCAAGGATTATAGTCTTCATTATGGATTACAACTCAATGTAAAGACAACCCAAATTCTCGCAACTGGACCAATTGGTAACATCCTGATAAATGGAGAAAAGACTGAAGGTACGAAGACGTTCCTCTTGCTTGAGTTCACAATCAATGTTCACGGAAGCAGCAGGCAAGGGATCGAAAGGCTCCTTGCACGAGGTAAATCTGCCGCCCAAGTACTCTTTACAGTGTTCAAAGGCAAAGACATTACTTTGAGGACTAAGATGTGCTGGACTCGAGCCGTGGCATTTTCAGTAACTTCAGATGCATATGAAAGTTGGACATTGAATAAAAAGACCGAAGAAAAATCAATGCATTTGAACTACAGTATTGGTGAAGAATATTCAAAGTGCCGTGGACTGCCAAAACAAGCAAATAAATAAACAATCTGTCTTGGAAGAAGTATAGCCAGAATGCTCCTTAGAGGCAACGATTGGGAGACATCATCTCATGCACTTTGGACATGATACCAGGAGACACCAGTCTCTGGAGAAGGACATCGTGCTTGGTAAAGCGGAGGGGAGAGGAAAAGTGGAAAACCCGCAACAGGATGGATTGAGAGAGCGGGTTCATGATGGGCTCAAATAAGAAGAGTTGTGAGGATACAGGACTGGGCAGTAGTTCGCTCTCTTGTCCGAGTATCTAGGGTCCCTAGGAGAGGAAACCTACTTGACAGCACATGAGTACAATGACAAACTTCCTAAACACCACTTATTATTAATATCACGATATTTTTATTACGATACCAAAAAGTCCTGTTGCCCAATAGTTAAGTGCTCAGCTACTAAGTACAGGTTGGCTGCTTGAACCAGCCGGACAAACATGTGGCAGTCTGCTTCCTTACAGAAGACAGACTTGGCAGCACTATGAGGCTGTTCTACTCTGTTCTATTGGGTTACCATGCATTAGAATTGGCTAATGGTTTGATATCTTATGTTAATTATTTCCATGGTTAAACTGTTTGGTGTACCATGATCTTTCCTGACTGACACATTTTAATAAGCACGTGGCACAAAAAAAGTGTATTTAAAAGAAAACTATCAGGATACAGAAACTTCTCCAAACATATTTTAAGCAACATACAAATACCAGATGATGAAACAGAGAACAACATGAGTTCTTAAATGTCTATGTCCTGAAAGGGTCAAGGATACTCTGTATTAGCCGATTGCTTTTTCTGCAGGTAAACAAGTCTCAGTGAACACATAGATTTATAGAGATATTTTTCTACTCGCCTTCTAATCCAGAATATCGACACTCACCTACCAACAAAAAGGGAACAACAAACAAAACAACAAACAAGACAGAAACCCAGTAAGAGCAAAGGAAAAATAACTGCTGTCATTCACAAAGCAAGGCTAGCCACCTACAGATGACTAGTAGTACACCAGACAGTGGAAAATACTAAAAAAGAAATCAAAATATAGTTTAATAAGTTGTGGTTCCTGGAACTTGGTTTGAAGGCCTCAGCCAATTTTTAACCACAGCCCAAGGAATTAAAGAACTTAATTCTTCTCTCATTCATAAAGTATGTCCCTGGCTCTGACTCTCTGGTTGCCATAAAGACGGATCATCAAGGAAAATGCTCCTTTGTGAGCAAGGCGGTCCATTGCTCCCTGCCTGTGTCTCACCACAGAATCATCATCTTACCATAAATAGCCCCGTGTCACTCCAGGCGGCATAGGGGCCTGCACACTAGGAGGTGCTCCTATGAGGACATCCCTCTACAGTTTGAAAAATACTTCTCAGATTCATCATCTCATAAAAGTGACCAGTCTCCTTGTGACAGACGAGCATCTGAGACCCCAGAGTCTGAGTAACTTTCTCTCCCCTGCAGGTAATCTTAGCAGACAGCTCTGGACATTTGGCTCCTAACTGCAGGTCAATCATCGTTCTATTGCACCCTCACTAACTCTGGGATTGCTGTCTAGCAGGACCTTTGGGAAGGTGGAGGTCGAAAGGATGACAGATGCGCAATGGAAAAATTGAGTAAGTTGATATGCAGGTCCTACGGCTGAAGTTCCTAGTGGTAGCCTGTGTCACTTCTAGCTGACTAGTGCTTCAGATCTGTGCAATGCACAACAGTCACTAAACACTGTTAAGAACCTGAGGAAATGACAATCTCTTTGTGGAAGATGAGAAATGTTGAAATCAATGCTACTCTGGGAAGCATTTGTTTGCATGCAAGGTGCTTGGTACAGTAGAAAACCAAACCAAATTCACTACCACGGAGTTGAGACCAACTCACAGTGACCCTATGGGGTAGAACTACCTCTGTGAGTTTCCAAGACCGTAACTCTTCACGAGGGAGCAATCAATCCCCTTGATGAGATGGACGGACACAGTGGCTGAAACCATGAGCTCAAATGTGAGAACTACTGTGTGGCAGCGTTTTCCTTTGTTGCACGTAAGGTTGCTATGAGTAGGAAGAAGTGGACGGGACCAAACAACAATGACTCTGAAGCATCACTCCTCTCTGGGTTCCCTCACACTTGCTTTCAACCAAACCATATTGAAATATGCCTTTGCTGTTGTTTTTTAGTGGTTGCTGCGGTATCTCTCACTGTTTTTCATTTAGATATGATTTGGATATCTGGGGCTTGGCAAGAAGGGTCTATCCGAGAGACCATCTTAAGATCTATTAGCGAATTGAACTGAGCATTCCCAGAAATGGCAGCATTTGGTAGCTCGGTCAATCATGGACTGTTTCTATCAAATATAGTCTTCTAGGTTAGTCTTTCCATTCGTCTTCCTAGTCAATTGTGGACATCAGATTCTCTGGTAGCCAGAAATGGGGGGTGGGCGGGAGGGGGAGATTCTCTGAAAGATGGCAAAGGCACTGGAGTTTCCCAGTCCTCAAGTGCTGACTTATTGGCAGGCGCTTCCTGGGTGATTTCTCAGTCTGACAAGCAGCAGGGACTCTGGCCGACCAGGCATCTCCCTGGCAGTTGTAGAAGAGCCAGGACTTTTGTGGCTCTAAACTGAGGTCCCAGTCAGACCAGGGGAGCACATTATCCTGTTTACTGCCGCTGCCTGATTTGGGAGCTAAGAAGGAAAGGGCAGGGCCTGGGAGTGCTGTCCATAGTCCGGTCTTTTCCAATCAGCTGAAGGAATGTGCTGACCAGCTCTCTGGTGAGGGAACGGAATCTCAGGGAGCATCGAAAAGCTTGTGGAAAATGGAACAAAAATACAGTGGAATTTTTCTGTGGATTATTTGAAGCCTTCTTTTACAACTCAGGATAGGTTGGTTTTTTTTTAAGGTCTGAACTTGCAATTATTTAATCAATGGGGGGTTCATTCTGTGTAACTGGGCATTCATATGCTCCCTGCAACAGGGGAAGACTAGAACACTGCATGTTGATTTTTAAAAGCCTGGGTCTGAGTGTCCACCCAACCTGTTACATTCTATGAGAGTTTGGACAAGTCACTTAATCGCCATTAGTTTCCATTCTTCCTCTTCAGAAATAGAGATGCTTGCCTCACATGAGATACTGAAAATATTAACTTCAATTGCATATAAGTATACTCAAGATATAATAGAATACACAGAAATAATAAGTGTTAAAAATGAACACTGTTGTTACTATTGGGAGTAGTTCATTATTATTATAATGTTTAGCCCAATGGAATGCTAACTTTTGCTAAATTGGACTCTATACAGACTTCCTGCATAAAAAGATAAGCAGGGAGACACTTATTGGAAACGAAAGTCATGATAACGATAAATGAGTCGGAGACATTCTTATATTTAAGCTTTCCTTTCAAACTTTCATGAAACATAAAAACTTAGTGCCATTTATTTTCCAGAGAAAGTGTCGTAATATGGATGAAAATTGATCAAGCTTCATTCCTCCTTCCTCCACCTCCAGTGAACAGTGCACAAGTACCTACCTTCTCTCAGGTCTTGTTCTGTCTTGGGCGATGTCTTCTTTCCCATTGACAATCCATGAACTTCTGCCTCATCCGCATTCACACCTGAAGGCACACTGCCCATTGAAAAATAATGAAGTTGCAAGTTCTGATCGAATAAACATGTTCAGAGTCTAAGGATATTTTACCCAGGTAGTCAGTCTACGATTTCAATATTGGTATTTTACTGCTGTTGCCAGGCTCACTTGTCTCTCAAGATCGAATTAAATGTTGCTGCCTCCATGGAATTAAGAATAAGTTTGCTTATTAAATGTGCTCTCTTTCACTTCTCTGAGCATTCCTAGCAGCCTTTATTACAGTAAATGCACACATAATTTAAAAATCCTAAATTAGACTTTGACTCTCAACAAAGCAGGAAAAAAATCCATCTTTATAATATTCTGAGCTTCCAATATTAGCTCTCAAATATTATACATCACTGTGTATTTTATCTTGCGGTAAAATGCTCTGAGTTTCTTGCCTTCAAATAAGTACAGTAAGGAAATACAACATTAAAATTAAATTTTAGTAGATTTCCTATAATAAATGAAAAATAGCCTCCAATTTTCTCTTGTTTGGAATCACAGACTGTTGGCCTTCAGGAATCACTTAATTCAGCCCTTTTCTGGAAGATAAACTTGAGACCCAGAGCAGTAGATAAATTACTTAAGGTCACCCAGAATTGACAGGAAGAACTGACACCAGGAATTAGGATGCAGGGCACCTAATTCCAGCTCAGACTTCTTGTAATGATTCCTTCTTGCTTTTATCAAGCAATAATAAGTTATGGCTAAGTATTTCTCCTCATTATAAATAAACGGTTGTGTTCTGAATGGATGACTCACCGATTCTCATCTTGTCGTCCTCCATATCTGATCCAATAATTCTGTTTGAAATTAAAAAAGCTTCTGTAGTTTGTCACTAAAATACTACTCACAGGAAAAAAAACAAAGTAGACACTTAAATATGTAACTGATATAAAATATGAGGAAACTTGTATACTTTCTAAGATTACAATGGAGATCAAAACATTTTGAATACAAAGAAGGCCACAGTTGTGTGGCCTTTGCAATTGTGGGAAAGACAAAAAAGGAAGTCCTGATGGATAAACAAGCAAAACAAACAAAATATGAAATTAGCTGAATAGCCATTCTTTTGCCTAAAAATGTAACATAGAATTTTTGGTAAGTATATACTAGAAAGGTCACTCAGCTCACCTACTGTATGTTTAGGTGTAACACAACAATGAAATTACAAAGAAATTCAGCTTGGCTAATAATGAACAGAATTATAAAGCAAATGATATTTTGGGGTATTTCTTGGGACAAGAAAAAAATTAGAATAAATAGAGCCATATATAAATATTTAAGGTAATAGATTAGAAATATTACATAAGTAGGAGAAAAAATAAATGTGAAATAAAGTAGAAAGAAAGTGTTACGCTGAAAATTACATTATAAATCATATTATCATTAAATAAAGAACTTATATAATACCTAATAAGCAAATTAACTAAGGGCATAGCCAGAAAACTCAAATAAGATGGGAATGAATAATATTAGCAATAAAAAGTGTATTGTTGGTGGCCAGTAAAGGCCTCCAAATGAAAACAGCAATCACATACTACTTTGCAAATACTATGTGAATAACATGACTTATTTTAGAGTCTAAAATTTGGAATGTGAGATCCAGTTGGTGAGAATGTGTGGTAAACTGTGACTTTTACGCATTACTAGTCGTGGGGAAGGATTCAGGTACTCTCGGGGAAGCAAGTTAATTTCAAGAGCTTTAAAATGTTTCCTGCTCTTTGCTGATGGAGCAATCTGACTTCTGGGAACTTATTCTAAGGATATAGTTCAATGGAGGGGGGAAATGCTAAGTGCATTAGGTATGGCAGGAAAAGAAATCTGAAATAAAACTAATGTCCAGAAGCCGAACACTTAAGTATGTCAACTCTAGATGCAGAGCTAAAAATAACTTTTAAAGATATGCAAATCTAAACATTGATCATGTCATCTTTCTAAATAAGAGTGAGAATGCAAACATTGCTATACTCTAGTATTCATTGTAAAATTATATCCCTATAGTAAAAATAATTGTTTGACACGATGAAAGCAGTGAAGAAATGCCAGCACGCAGGTCTTTGAAGTTCCTATATGTAATGTTTAACAATGGTGGTGCAGTGGAGTTGTGGACTAAGTGTTGGGCTATGAACTGCAAGGTCAGAAGTTCAAATCCATCAGTCACTCCCTGGGAGAAAGATGAGTTTGTCTGCTCCCTTAAAGGTTGATAGTTTGGGAAGCCCATATAGGGTTGTCATGAGTTGAACATGACAGGATTGCAGTGATCTATGTTCCTTTTTGGGATACACAATATCTGAGGATCCCTGGTGACCCCAGGTTAAGGACTCAACTACTAACCAAAAGGGCAGTGATGTGAACTCACCTGCAGTTCCACTAACCAAGCAATTTGTTTACATGAGGATTGTAACCTTTGAGTCCCTATGGGGACAATACAACCTTGTGCTCTGGGGCCAACCTGAGTTGCGTGTGAGAAGACAGCAGTGAGTTTGGTTGGAGTTTTTGGATAATACTTAGGTAACGAACAAACATAAAGAAAACTATCAAAGGATGCACTGCAAATTTAGAAAATTGAAAGAATTCTGAAGCAAACACATCGTATGCAAAATAAAGATCTCTATGTTCAAATAGCTTTTTTAAAAACTTTATATCTCAATACTGTGGAAATCAATAAAAGTCTTTTAATGTTTGTCACATATTTGAGTAAACCTGTCCCTGGTCCCAGGCCCCCTCCACCCCTGCCCCCTGATGCCTCCATCGTAAGCTCCCCCACCCCTGCCCCCACTCCATGCCTATCTTGACTTGGGTGCAAAATCTTCAGCAAATGGGGTTAGGAACTGAAATCATAAAAGAAAAAATCCACTTAGTATCTATGTGAACAATTACTTTCTCCTTCATTTTTGTTCTTACCGGTTCAGTGTATGAAAATCCCAGACCCTCTGCGGCTGATTTTATTAGATCAGATTCCATTTTATGACGCTTCACAAACATAACTAAATCCTGGAAAGGGAAGAAAAACAGAAAGGCAGGCATTTATATTTAAATAAGTTAAGGGATATGATAAATGTTTAAGTGGAGCTATTCCTCATTGAACAGTTGAAAATGTGCTAAAAATTACTCAGAACTATTAAGATCTCCTAGCTCAAAATTTTTTTCACAAGCCAGAATTAGGAAGAAAGAAAGTGCTTATGAAACAATCATGAAAGCTTAAAATATTGGACTATCAGAATCTTTAATAAGCTGGTAAGTCTCTTTAGAGAAATGTTGTTGTTTTACTATCGCTTCTGTGGAGCACACAGAATGAGGAGTTTCTTCTCCACGCACTGGTCTTACCTCTCTGGCCTCAATGGATTCTAGGTCCATACTGTCATCCAACAGACTCTTATAGTAATCCACGTTGTCTAAGACATCGTCGTCATCTGGATGGAGTAGAAGATAGGCCTTGGCACACTCCAGAGCTTTTGTATATTCACCAACTGAAAAAGGAAGGGGTTGCACCACTGGAGTCAGTCTAGGTTTGCCCTAAGGATTACCAGGAGATACTTCTACATGTGTACTAGAATTCAGCTTTAACATCATTAGGTGGAAAGATCAGGAGAGACTGAGCTGGGTAAGTAAACATAGTCATAGATAAAAGGATGCGTTTTCAGACTGCCCCCAACGAGTTCTGGAATTAGATATATTTTGAATAGTCCATTAGAAGTTGAAGATGTGTGTTGGCAACTTGTATTATTTAACCCAGAGGCAAAGAGCAGGATTTTAAGAATTAATTCTTAATTTCCTACTGAGTTTGGATTGAGCATCTCACAGGTGACCTTCGCTTGCAGTCCTCAAGTTGTTGTTAAGTGCCATCGAGTCGTTCTGACCCAAAGTGCCCCCCACCCCACGTTTGCACAAGAGAAGGAAACACTTTCCTCTCCTGCACCATCCTCACAATTGCTCCTATGCCTGAGACCATTGGTACAGTCACTGCATCAGTCCATCTCGTTGAAGGCTGTGGTACTTACATAAATCTGGTGTCAATTTGGATCTTGAGGGAGGATTAAGGGTGAAGGGGTCTGTCAATCGGTTCATAGCCAATGAGGCTTCTGTGTGGGCATGGCCTTCTCCTGAGAATTTTGGGAACTCCTGTATTTTCCTCCTTGGAGGCGGCAAACACTTCTCACTCTCAACCGATGGAGATTCTCTACTGACAAGGCTGACTCTCTGTGAGACATCTCTGAGGAGAAGCTACATGGACCTACTCTGATGCAGCCCTGGGAAATGGAGAAGCCACTTGGAGATCCCTGCCAGTGCTTAGATGCCTATAAGGCCACTGGGTCCAAAGACTTTCTACCCACTGGCCTATGATTTTCCTGCATTTGGCATCTTTGCATGTGTTGCCTGAGTCAGAAGAGGACTTTAAAGATTGGTATCTGACATATGGGCTAATATCAGACTTATGGGCTTGGACTGGACAGGGTTGGGATGCTTTCTTAATGTACAATTACCCTTTATATAAAATTCATTCTTATACACATGAGTTTCTATGGATTTGTTTCTCTAGTCTACTCAGACTAACACAAGGGCCTTCCTCTTTTTTTGCTGCCCTTCCACTTTACCAAGCATGAGGTCCTTCTGCAAGGATTCGTCTCTCCTGATATCATTTCCAACGCATGTAACACGAAGCTTTGCCATCCTTACCTCTAAGGAGCCCTCTGGCCATACTTCTTATAAGACAAATCGGTTTGTCTTAGGAGCAGTCCATTGTATTTTTAGTATTCTTTTGCCAGCACCACAATTCAAATGCATTGATTCTTCTACAGTCTTCCTTATTCAATATCCAACTTTCATATGCATATGAGGCAATGGAAAGTGCCATGGCTTGGGTCAGGCACACTTTAGTCCTCAAAGTAGCAACCTTGCTTTTCAGTGCTCTAAAGAGGCCGCTGCAGCAGAGTCCTGGAGGGCTCTTCACAGCCCAATCCCTCATTGTGTCATTAGAACAAGACCATGCTAAGAGGAATTAGCAAAGATATTGAAACTATGAATTCTTCTCTGTGGAAATGTTTATCGAAAGAAGAACGCTGACATACTATATGTCTGTTTTCAAACAGATCACATTTCTTTTAAACCAATGAGTTCCTTCAGACATAGATTATCTGAGTTATAGTCAGAATGCTTACCATTAAGCACTTCTTTCAACCACTTTGCACTACTGCCCAGGACTTCAGCACAAGATTTGTGATTGCTTTCAGTACCAGAATGAGTAATGGTTTCCTTTAGAAAATGGAGCGAGTTGCCAACATAGCTTAAAGCTGTTGGCTCAAGGCTTTTTCTTATTATTTTAGAAGGGAAACAGTTTTCTTCCTGTTGACCTCCATACAAGGCAGTCTGATATTGATGCTAGTGAGAAATAATGGGAATGGTACTGAAGCAGAAATGATGACCTCTCAAAAAAACATGTGACCTTGAACAAGTCATGTTTCTATAAAATGAGAACATTAGTCTCCATGATACGCAATGATATCAGTCACTTATATTCTTTGAGTTGTTCCTAAACATAAGAAAACTGCTCAATTTCTTTCTCAATAAGATGAGCATAAACTATTACTGTATTGAGATATCATATTTTATCTATGGAGTCCAGAAAGATCTAAAAGATTGATAATGTATTTGTGGCAAACATTTAACATCGATCACAATTATAAATGAACAAAAACCATTGAGTCAATGATCATACTTCTAGTACTTTAATTAATAGGTATTTGATTGTAGATGTGAAATGATGTTTGTAAGATATTATTCGCTGGGGACTTGACTGTAATAGCAAAAGTTTGCAAACAATAAAATTGCCTATAAAAATTATATATAATTATATAAATTACAATTCACTGAGAAGCCAAACACCAAACTCACTGCCATGGAGTTGACTCTGACTCACAGCGCCCCTACAGGACGGGCGCACCTGCCACTGTGGGTTTCCACGACTGTAACGCTTATGGAAATAGAAAGTCTTGTCTTTCCAACCAGGAGCAGCTGGTAGCGTCAAACTATTGATCTTGAGGTTAGCAGCCCAATCTGTAACCACTATTCTACCAGCGCTCCTAGACAGTACAAGGATGGGCAAATGTAAATAAAAAATAATTCAGAAACTTTCTATGTATTGATACAATTAGGCTGA